GTGATTGTGTTCAGGACAGGCAGTACCCAAAACACTCTGCTTTGTCTCTCTGGCACATCTAGGCCCACATTATTATGTTTTAAATTAGAGGCATTTCCTAAATTGTAGTTTCTTACAACCATTTTTATATACTAGTGAGCTCCATGTGCTCTGAAATATGGTGTCCCTATCGTTTATATAAATAAACAAGATACTCATCAACAATGTGAGTTTGTTTCCCTATTTTTATGTATCAATTTTTCTGGCTACTGTTATTGTGATGGTTTCTACCATTTTGTTGTTTAATTTGTTGTAATGATGTTTGCTCGCCACCTTGAGTGCTACATCTGGAAGAAAGATGGGATAGAAATAGAATAACAACAAAAAATGGTGATAATAGTGATATTTGTGAAACCTAACATGACCGTCTCTCTTTACCCTTCATTACCCTTGGTTATCTAAGGAAACATATTTTTAGCTAAATTTGGCTTTATTTGTTTCTTCTCTTTTAAGAAGTTCTTCTGTTCTTCGAATATGTTTGCAAGATGCCTTGAGTGCTATCTTTTAATGGGAAATAGAATAGAATAACACTTTATTCTAAACGGTTTAAGGCCTCGATACTTGGTGGAATGCTTACTCCCACCTAGTTCTACCCATGTCACTCGTGCGAGCCAGGAGGTGAGGCTGAGGAGCCTAACACTGAAGGAGGCCTGGAAGTCAAAAACAAGAAACTGGGCCTTCTCGGTGGTGGCTCCTCGCTTCTGGAACAACCTGCCTCTGGAGATTCGCACGGCTCCCTCACTGGGTATTTTTAAAAACCAACTGAAAACATGGATGTTTCAGCAGGCCTTCCCTCCCAGTTAATCCTTGATTTCTTCCCCTTCTTTTTCTATTATGATTTATGATGTCTTCTCTCCATCTTGTAGAAACTTTCTATTGTGTAAAATTTGTTTATATATATATGTATATATATATATATATGTATGTATATGTGTATATATATATGTATATATATGTATGTATGTATGTATGTATGTATGTATTTGTTCATATATTTGTGTTGTAAGCTGCCTAGAGTGATTGCAATGACCAGATAGGCGGGGTATAAATGGAATAAATAAATAAATAAATTGTCATTGCATGTGCAACAAAATCACCAAACGTAGAGTATAAATGTAGTAAATAAGTAATCCTCCCTGAAAGTGGGTGTAAGCAAAGACTCTGTTGTCACAAACAGGAGGAAAAAGGAGGGGACAATGAGGGGAATTTTTGTTCGCTTTTCTCTTAAAGAGTCAGTTGAGAAAAGCAAAAATTAAAAACAAAATCCTCTTGTCTCCTTCTGCCACCACTGCTGCTCTGCTTGCCCCTTTTAAAAAGCCAACCCCCAGTCCCCACCCACACATAAATACACAAGGATGCACATGTGCACATGCACAGGAGGGTTTGGCATTCGAAAGGGAACATCTTTGTGGTGTCTTTAGAAATTAAACTCTTTCATAGAGCCAAGGCAGTGTTTAATTTACCTATATCATGAAGTGACTCTCTTATTAAGTCACTTCCTGATGTTGGCAAGTTGAAAAAAGAAGGCTTCCTTTAGTCTGTTCCCAGTGATCATATGTGCTGGAGATGAACCAAAGTGGAGCAACCCTACTTACACCAAAAATAGAAGCCTCTTTACATGGGCCAGAAAGGTACAGGTAGGAATACAATGAGATGGGCTCATTCATTCTAGCAAAGTTGTCATCTGATTGCTGTTTTAAGAATGTACCAGACTACCCCTGCAGCAGTCCAAACAGAGGGCTAAATGCCCATGTGATTGCACTCCAGGTGAAACAAGCTTTATAAGGTGTCAGCAGAAAGTCAACCAGAAATAGAAGGACAGTTTGGTTTAAACCATTTTTTAAAGCCTTCTGCTTTTACTGACAATTATTCATTAGAGACTGTTCACACACAATATTTAAAAGTAATTAATTATTGTAAAAGTTCTTATTTTCTGGGTGTATTTTCACATTCATTTTGGATTGGATTGTCATAAGATTTTCAAAGTATGATATACGTATTCAGAAGTGCTTTACCCATGCCTTATTCTGCACAGTACTAACAAGAGTTAGCTTGTCAGCTGCCCTTGTCCATGAAAGAACCTTCCACCACTGTCACTTTCCGCTACTACTGCTACCCAAGAGTTATCCTTCAGGTGTTTCTCTGTCCCCACCACTAGGGAACTAGCAGTTCTCTTTTGCCAATGTCACCATGAATCTTGAAGAGAGTGGACACATTTTAATCCAGTGTCTTAGCTTCCACCATTTTGCCATGAATGACCAAGCCAGGGTGCCCTGTTTCACACATCCACTAATTCTGTGCTGCTGCCACCTACTAGAGGGCTATTAGACAGTTGGTCAGAGTTCACAATTGTGGAATTGTGCATAGTAAATTAGAAAAACAATATATTTACTTGCCAGCCTTTACAGGCCTTGCCTTGCTATTAGTACAAACGAACGTGACTGCCTCGGGCTTCCAGTCTCTGTTACTATGCAAGGTCCTAAATCCAATGTTTATATCAACCCCCTGTTTAAAACCCAGGGGTGGGATGGAAACTCTGACAGGCTCGAGGCGCAAGTGAGGGTGGTAGCAACCGTGGATGCTGCAACAAAGCATTCCCTGAGTGATGAGGTAACGGCCTGAACCGCCGCCGGAGCGAGAGAGCAAGCAGCGGAGTGCTGCCAGATACGTGGAGGAATGATTAGGGCCCCGCTTTATTCTTGTAATTGTTTGTGATTTATTGCCTTCTTTTAAACATCTCTCCCCCCCCCTTCCCCGCATTCGCTCTGCGCCTGGGAAGGGGCTATTTCGGGGCTCAACGGGAAGGCTATAAAAAGCACCCGGCCTCCTCGGAGCAGGAAGATTGCAGGGAGCGAAGGCGAAGGGTGCGCCCCCGCCCAGCCCTCATTGGCCCGGCCGTCGCTGGAGCCGGGCGGGCACCGGCGGTGTGAAGTTGGGGTGAAGGGGAGGCGCCTGGCGAGGCCGCTGGAAAGTGTGTCCCGCGCCCCAGCGGGCTGGCTGGGATGCCAAGCTCGCTCCTTGTTTGACAGCTCCTTAAGCCCTCCTTCATCGTTTCCAGCTGTTCCTCCCCTAACACACACACACCCCAGGCCGGGGGGGGGGAGAAGAAGCGAGGGGCCCATTTTACTTCAGTTTCGAGGAGGTGAAGCACGGGGCCGCCCAGCACAGCCAGGCGGCTCGGCTGCTGAGGGCGCAACATAACCGCCTAGAGTGGTCCTAATCCAACCAAATAGGCGGGATATAAATAAAATAAATAAATAAAATATAAATGGACTCCAAACGGACACAACCTACCAGCCTTCTCGAGAGAAGGGGCGGGACGGGAGAGCTCTTCTGTGCTTTATACGTTTCCCGCGCGTTCTCTGTGGATCCGGCGAACGGGGCTGTCGCAAGACATGTCGCCACCTGAAGCAAAGAAGAAAGCAGCAACCCCCCCCCCGTCCGATTTGATGTACAGAAATGAAAAGGGCTGGCTGTTTCACTTCACTTCAGCACTGAGAATGGGGCAGTCTCTTTTCCCTCAGAGAATCACTGACTAGTTTAGATCTGCATGTTATTGGGAGAAATATGAGGTAGGCATTTAATGAACGCCCGAATAAAGGAGCACAGGATGGTCTCTGCCGCCTGCACAGCTCTCTTCTGTCCCAGGGCATAACAGTCAAGAGCACAGCAGGAAGAGGCAAGGGTGCCTGTTACTGCTGCCTCCAGGGACTGTTAAGAACACAAAGAAGAGCCCTGCTGGATCAGGCCAAGAGCCCGTCTAGTCCAGTTCCCTGTATCTCACAGGGGCCCCACCATATGCTTCTGGGAGCACAGGAGACAACTAGGTACCTGTCTCCTGATACCCCTCCACTGCATCTGGCATTTGAAGGTACCTTCCCTTTTTAAGCCTGTAGATTATACATCCCCATCATGTTTGTAAGCTGTGATGGACTTTTCCTCCAGGAATCTGTCCAATCCCCTTTTAAAGGCATCTAGGCCAGATGCCATCACCAGATACTGTGGCAAGGAGTTTCACAGACTAAGAACACTCTGGGTAAATAAATCTTTTCTTTTGCCTGTTTTCACTCACCCAACACTCCATTGGAGTGGATGTCCCCTGGTTCTGGGATTGCATGAGAGGGAAAAGAGCTTCCCACTAGCTACTTTATCCATCCCGTTACCTGAGGAAGTTGCTTCCTCCTGCTTTGTTAATAGAGCTGGCACTCCTGGGGCACCCACTTCACTCACAAGTCACCAAGGCCTTTCACAGGAGAGACTGAACTTGCCTGATGATGGGGTGGCAGGGAGGAAACATGATTGGGATGCTGTAGGATCCTGGGGAATTTTTTTTACTTGTTTCAAGTATTTAGTTATTTATGTTATTTGTATGCCTTTATTTATTTATGTTATTTGTATATTAGCCTGTAAAAAAAACTAACTTATTTTAAACCTAACAAGTATGCTTTGGCATATCCTTTCGTTTGGACTGTAAGCTGCTTGAAACTTGCAAAGAAGAGTTCTAGAGTCCAAGCCAATAAGCATATTGGGTGTAATTATGCATCTTTTCATATTTTTGAGGGTCTAAACATGGCAAAGATGCAGAACAGCACAACTAGGAGGTGATACCGCTTTTAAAGGTGCTGTGTTTGCAAAACTAAAATGCAAACACAGCCTGTTGCTTCATGCCAATTACCAGTCACCAAATATAAGCAAGGTAGTTTGCAACTTGCAAACCTATGAAAGGTATTATAGGATCCTCAAATCTCTTTCACTCAGCTCAGTTTTTAGTAGTGAAGTCCCCTGCCTCATCTATTTTGGCTTTAAGGCCCCAGGGGAAAATTGTTGCAGTACTGGTCAGCATCAAAATTTCTCAAAGAAATGACAAAGATATTTGTCATTACTTTGGCCTCCGTTAGTTCATTCTAACATAATGTTAAAAAAAGAGTTAAGTTGTGATTCTATTTCTGTCTTTTCTGTAGAAAAAAGCCAGAACGCAGCATGAGAGGGGCCAAACTTCCTGCGAACTGATAGCACTGAAGAAAGAAAATGGTAAGCTTAAATGGATTTATACCATCCTGATTTGTCTCTGTTTTAATGTGATTACAATATGTTTTGTTGGAAAATTAAAATAAAATAGGACACAAATAGACAGTCCTCCCTGTTCCTCAGCATGAATTCATGTGGATAAAAGGAAATCTTTTAAAAATTTGCACATTCCATGGCGTTCTTTCCCATAGATAAAAATGCATTCCAATGATGATGAAAAATACAATGGGACTGAAATATAAGTGCAACGGGGGGGGGGCATCCTCTTCCACTTCTGATGGCAAGAGGCTAGCTCTGCCCACCAGTATCTCCTGCCTGAAGCAACAACTTCAGTTGAGGCAATGGTAGAGCTGGCCTGGGGAGTTGTCTTTTGCTTTGACCTGGTAGATTTGGCAATCCGAACTTCCCCATTTGTAATTTGACATATCATTGACATCTCATACATAAAGTAAAGACAGAAGTGGCTGCTTATGAGTATACTTTAGTGGGTGGGTGAGTACTCTTTGGCAGTCTGTGGCACTTACTCACAAGGAGATATTCTCCTGTGTAGGCATTTTGACTTTTCCAATATGGCAAATGTGCCTAGGAGAAAGACCCCAACCTGCAGTTATAAACACAAGCATAAATTCTCCTTGGTCAGAAGATCAGTTTCTGAGTAGATGTGCTTGTTTTTTGAATCACAGGGTAGATCAACAGAATGTTTTACCAGCAGATGGTTTTATAAATTCTCGTGAAATAACTGGTCTGAACTTGCCTTTCTTGTGTAAAGCACTCTACAAGCCTTATCACATCCCAACAACCATGCAAACTAGTTTCCTATACAAGTTCTAAAGATGGCATGGAGAGACTTATGGGGACGTGGTGGCGTTGTGCGCTAAACTGCAGAAGCCTGTGCTTCAGGGTCAGAAGACCAAGCAGTCGTAAGATCGAATCCACGTGACGGAGTGAGCGCCCGTCACTTGTCCCAGCTCCCGCCAACCTAGCGGTTCGAAAGCATGCAAATGCAAGTAGATTAATAGGGACCACCTCGGTGGGAAGGTAACAGCGTTCCGTGTCTAAGTCGCACTGGCCATGTGACCACGGAAGATTGTCTTCGGACAAACGCTGGCTCTATGGCTTGGAAACGGGGATGAGCACTGCCCCCCAGAGTCGAACACGACTGGACAAAAAAAATTGTCAAGGGGAACCTTTACCTTTACCTATGGAGAGACTTAGTGAGGGAAACATGCCAAAACTATCCAACTTTTCAAGACTGAGTATGCATTTTTAGCCCAGGTTTTCAGGACATGAACCTAACATAATGCTCAAAGGCCAGTCTTGTTGATTTGCTAAATAGCATTCTTTACAAGTACAGTGTTGCCTCGCTTAACGAGCGCACCGTATAACGAAGAATCCGTATAGCAATCCCTTTTTGGGGATCGCTATACGGAGCTGCCCCAATCGCCGCACTCGCTTTGCGCCGATTGGGGCGTCAAAGGCCAATCTTGTTGATTTGCTAAATAGCATTCTTTACAAGTATCTTAATTCTTTTGTCTCCCTGAAAACAGTGCAGCACATTAGGATGTAATCTGTTTTCAGCTGTACAGATTCGTGCCAGAATTCTTGTGTTCCGGAAAATTACATGTTTTGGATGTGTTTATATATGTAGATATGCTTTGGTAGACAGAAGCAACTGTCTACCAGTGGATAACATAAACATAACATGGTCATAGTTTTGCTGGCTGGACATTATGGTTCAACTTACAGACCACTAGCTTAGGGGAAACTGCTGAAAATGGTAGGTGTGAAGTACTGAACAGTCCCCAAGAAGCAGAGGGTTAGTAAAAGCAATAGCATCTGTGTAACCAAGACCTGCTTGAAACATACATTCAATCAATTTTTTGAAAGTCCTTTTTAGAAGCCCTTATGAGAAATTTGTTTCATGTAATTTTATTTGTGCAGTGATATACACTCGTATATACAGTGTTTGAGATATCCATGGTGTTGGCTGAAGCTGGTAATTACTGGTAAGAGGCAGTAGAAATTACTGAGGTTCATTACATATTTGTTGACAAAGGGAAAACAGCTGTAACAGCTGTGCCAGCTCTCTTGGCCAAGAAATTTCCCTTCCATCATCAATACATCCATTTAACAAATAGAGACTCTGGCTTGGTAATGAGGCGAGAGCAGCAAGGTATTTAAAGGGAAAATGTGGCTGCCTACAGAAATAATGTAAGCCTGTTGGCGTTTATCCAAACAATTGCCTTCGGAACCATTAAAGATGACTCTCATTTCGTACACAGTGGTGTGGTTGGGTAATTCTACTCTTCCAATAGTCTTGTACACCCCACCCCACCCCATCACCTTTTATATGGTGGTATATTATTTCACTTACTTCCAAACATGGTAAGCCAGTTCTTGTTGCCTTTGGCAACCCTTGTGCTCATCCGGCTGAGTGAGGCTACCTGAGTGTCTGTGCCAAAGTCTTGGAAAAAGATCCTTACTGCAAAATGTTTGGAAAGAGGGACTGCTTCTGTCTTTTTTGACCCAAATGGCAATCTGCACCCAGTGACTGTATTTCTCTAGGAATTATGCTGGTCTGTGCCAGCATAATAGTGAGCTTTGTTCCTAAGGTATGTAACTGGTCAGCATCACAGCACAGATGTTATGGATGACACCTTACCTATTATAAAACAACTCATGGTTTCAAGCATGCCATTCGTGAAAATATTTTTATCCAGCTGCTGAACTATAGGGAATAATTATAAAACATAATCATTATGTAGCAGAAGCATGTGGTATATTCAGTTTTTCAAGGGCTCTAAACAACTTACATGCATATGTCTTACTCATTATCTTGTTTCTGTTTTGACTAAAAGTTGCCCAATCAGGAACTTTCACCATATACTGAACACTGATAAATTGGACTGCTCAAAGCATTTATTTCCACTTGAACAATTTGAGTATTCAGATCTGTTTTTATGCATACAAGACCACTGCACAATTTAAAATTATGGATGTATATAAAATATAGGTAAAATAAATTAAAATGTTAATATAAGTAGACTATTTTTGATCAAAAGCGGGCTATTTCATCTCCACCATTTGGTAGAACCTCTTTTGTACACATGGTATGCAGATGAGTGTAATAATTGTGTGACAAACAATGGGGCTCTATTTGTAGACCTTTCTCTGATGCAGACCTTAGCTGGAGTCTTTTGAGATGTTAAAATAAGGGTGTGGCCCCTTAGATGTTTTGGACTCCAATGCTCAAAAGCCCCAATGAACAGGCATGGCAAAGACGTAGCCACACAAAATTAGAGAAGGGCCTAGAAATGTGAACCAACAGCAGAACTGATATTCATGAACAATCAAACCAAATGATTACATACATTATAAATATAAATATAAATGACTGATTGTTTATGTGTACTATACTTCCATTTCATGGTTTTAGACATTCATCTTTGGTCTTGAGAGAGATATATCTATCTCAAGGCCAAAGATGAATGGCTAAAACCATGAAATGGAAGTACAGTACACATAAACAATCAGTCATTTATACACACACCACCAAGGCAAGATTTATCGAATGGCAAATAATATAGGCAATCCAAGCATCAAGGGATCAGTTGTTTATGAGCATATAAACCCAGATGAAATCCACAGATTGGTGGGTGATGTGACCTGTCCACATATCCACACATGATAATTCTGGATTTCTGATATTGTTTTGAAGATTTTTTTTCAGACTGAATATAAAGTTACACAAATAGCAGCAAAACAGCAACTCTGGAAAGCCAAAGATTTTGCATTCTTGCCATAAAAAACAACAACAATCCTCTCCTAAGTGAGGGTTAGGTAAGGTGAACCTGAACACAGGGCTTGTATTTCTCTCTCCCCCTCCCCCAATCAAATACCAATTAGTCCTATCCTACACATGTTTCCTCAGAAGTAATCAACACTGTTTATTCAGTGTGCAAAGGATTCCAGCTTTTGCAATTATATAATTTTCAAATTTTTCACATACCGTATTTTTTGCTCCATAAGACGCACAGACTTTCCACCCCCCTGTTTTGTGGGAAAAAAGTGCGTCTTATGGTGCGAAAAATACGGTATATAAAATATTGTTAGTTGTGACAAATCTGTAAGGTCTGCTTAGTATTTGTTATCCTGGTTCTGGTGTGAATAAGTGACTTGCTTATGTTGGGTAAAACATGTCTAAGTTAAGTATTAATGTCTTGGTCCCAACTCTAGTTTTTCCCTAGAATTAGTCAAACTTCAGTGTATTAAAATAGCTTGTATGGGCAGCATCTCACTAGCTCTGGCAAACTGCCAGGAGGCCTCATTGAAATTCAGATATTTCATATTTATAAAGAGTGTCTTTCCAAAATGTAAACTGACATTAAGCTAATAAATTGAATTTAAAGTCAGTATAGAAGGAAGGGCAAGACAAACAATGTAGTAGTAGTGGAGGTGATGGTGGTGGTGGTGGTGGTGATGATGATGGTAATGGCTATATACATGCACATATTTTCTCCTCCTTTTCCATGAAGAAGCCAACAAAGACCATTTACAAGTGGAAGCCAGAAAATCTGACACGGGGCTGCTGGAGAAGCAGAGAAATGAGGCTGCAAAACTCCAACATCAACACCAGAAGGAAAAAGAGTGTCTGAAGGAAGCTCACCTTGCTGAGATTGAGAAACTTAGCCAAGACATTAAAATCCAGGTTAGGAAGCAATCCTGTTCAGCATTCTCTTGGACAGTAATGGTTTTTTCTCTCTCTTCATATTGCAAACTGTTCCTACTATCTCATTGCTCAGACTGAACTTTACATTGTCACTGCACTGATTCCCGATTAAGGCAGTTCATGTTTACCTGAATGTAAAAATGAAAGTGGTCTTAGCAACGTGCCATCCGTGGGCCCAAATACAGGACTGGAGCTTCCTAGCAGCCCCACATGCACTGAAACACTGTTATTTCAAAATTTTTCTGTGGCTTATAATGTCTCCTTGCACTCCTCCAGGCTGTGGGGGGATTTGCCATGTTATGCTGTTTTACTGTATAGTTTTGACAGGTAGTGAGATACCTTACATCTCCTATTGGGAGAAAGGCAGCATATAAATCTCAATCTCTCTCTCTCTCTCTCTCTCTCTCTCTCTCTCTCTCTCTCTCACTCTCACACAAACACACACACACACACACACACACACACAGAGAGAGAGAGAGAGAGAGAGAGAGAGGGAGGGAGAGAGGGAGGGAGGGAGGATGCCTACACTCTAGGCCTCCCACAGCCTGTGAAGAAAATTGGCCACTAGAGGGCAGAAGCGGTGCTTTCATAAATAAATAAATAAATGGCCGATTTTGTTAGAAAAACAGTTGAGAGGGGTTCATAGGAGTGAGTACAGCACCTTCCAGTCTAGGGATGGCTATGTGTAGCCTTGGAGCTCAGAAGACTGCCACTTATGATCTGTGTACTGATTTGGTAATGTTCACCCTGTCTCAGCTGGAAGATCTTAAACTGAAATTCCTTCATGCTTTCCAGAAGCCCTGATCAGTTTCAGCAGATTCTGTGTCACTGAATACACAGCCCACACAGTGCATGGCACACCGTGTCAGGTTTGTTAGTACATACTGAATCAATGCAAAACCATGATAGGTGAATGTTGCCAGAAAAAGGAATAGGGTGGTAAAGAAATGCCTCTATGCAGTTGCAGTATTCGTCTTTAGCAGTTTCAGCAGATTCTGTGTCACTGAATACACAGCCCACAATGTGCATGGCACACCATGTCAGGTTTGTTAGTACACCATGATAGGTGAATGTTGCCAGAAAAAGGAATAGGGTGGTAAAGAAATGCCTCTATGCAGTTGTAGTATTTGTCTTTAGCAGTACAGTATATACAATCAGCTACCTTGCTGGAATTGAAATAGGTCATAACTTTAATGGAGGACATAATGAACTAAAATCAGATTTTCTTAGCATGACAAGCAACTTTGATAAATGTTGGTGCATTTAGAAAAAACAAAACTCACAGCTGTTTAATATCATGCTTTAAAACTTTTTCCATTTTAGAGAAATCCTTCTACTAACTGCCTTCTAAGTTTCAGGAAAGGAAATATTTAAATGGGTAATAGTCTCAAGTGAGGGCAAGACTATTGCATTTTTACAAGATTTATGATGAATCTGCTGCTTTGGATCTTCACCTTGGCCGAAAGAATGATGAATATATTCTGAATGGCTGAACATTCAACATACCTAAAATACAATCCTTGCTGAAGTATCAATTTTGAAACAGAAATGTTTAACATCTCTTTGTTTAAATGATGATATTGTGCTGGGCAGGTAGCTGAAAATGATTCACATGCATTTAAAAAGTCAGGTTGCCCTATTGTAAACAAAGAAGAAATAACTGGGAAAAGCTCATGCCACTGCATGTTTGTGGAAAAATATGCCTATTTACAGTAATGTGCATGTGCCAATCATACATGACAACACACCATACATACCTTTTGCAGTTTAACTTTTGCCATGTTTAATACTTTGGTTCAAAATGCAAAGGATGAATTAATAGATATAGCCCAATCCATTTTTAAAAAACTTTGAAGTAAATATTGCATTGAATAGAACTTATCCCCAAATAAATCTACACATACTTGCACATTTAGCAGTCAATCTACAGACTGATCGATAGATATCCAGAAATGTAATGTAAATGTAGTTGCTGTCCTAAGCGTATGTAGTTTCAAATGAGTATCAGATCATATATTAAAGCAAATGGTTGTCTTGCAATATTATCCTTTCAAGCATGCATATCTTTCAGTTCTACTGAGTTACAATGAATTCAGTGAGACAAGTTACAATCAGACTGCAGGGGTAGTATGAGTGAGGGCTCAGGGAAGAATTTTTTGTCACAGGTCAATGAGCCTTGAAAAGCTGCTAGATACTTCCTGGAGAGCTCTCCGTCTGGTTACTTGTTTTAAGAGTGAATAGCAATAAACAAAGAGGAATTTCAACATACCTTTGAACAATTTGCTTTACTTGGATTGTATATGCAAGATCCAACTGTACAAATTCTACTCTAGCAGATTTCTGGCAGCAAGTCAGCAGGAATGTGGGGAACTCCTTAAAAGAACTCACAGCATGTTTAAAGAAACACAACACTGTTTTTAGTATCTATAGCTTAGCTTTCATTTCTTTAGAGAATATAGGATGAAATGTGTAAATTATAAAAGATGATTAAGTGCACACTTAGAACTTCCTCCTCAAACATCTTGCTAGGTGGAGGTTCCAGGGCTGGTCTTGTGTTATTTGCTTATTCCCAGTGACTGTGTCCCCTGTGTGACTGTAAAATTTCAAGTAAGTTCTTGGCTTTCTTCGGTGGAATAACTCTGAAACTACCTCACAGTGGAGCTGGGGGGGGGGAATTCATGGATGTATAATTCCTGGAACCCATTCGTGGTTATTTATATCATGAAGGTTTAAAAGGTCATTTGGTGCATTTTGATTGGTCCACTGGGACTCCTACTATTTTATGGAGATTGTGCACACATTGCTTTGCTTCATTTTCTTTCTGCCTGCCTTGATTCAAAAGGGCTGGAGCAAGTTGTCCTGGGTGATGTTGAGAGTGATAATTGGTGCGTGTGTGTGCCAGTATAACATAATGATCCCCCTTCATTGATACTCCCTCATCTTTCCTCTGAATTTTTTGTCCTATTTTTTTTCCAAAATGCTTCTTCTAAATATAGCACTGGATCATATAAGTGCTGCCTTCATAATTGCCTTACCTACTTGTTCTGCAGTGTGTAGATTATGTGGTAGGTATCCCTTAATGATAATCTTGGCCCTCAAAAAGACTGGCTGCAAAAATCGTAGTTGCTAGGAAGGGTATGTTTTGCCCAGAAGTGGGTGTTGTGTACACTGGACTCCTGTGTTCTCTCCACTCCCAGGAAATGTAGATTCCAGGCGGGTTCAGCCACAGGTGCTGGAAAAGAGTGTTTCCACTTCAAGCAGGGTGAGGGAGAAGGAGAAGACTAAGAGGCAGGATTTAGTCACCAATGGAGGAATAGCGTCATTCCTAGTCCATTGGTCTCTCAAGTTTGGGTTACCAGCACCTGGGACATGTACTAATGTACTTCTGCTCACGGCACAGAAAGCCAGGAAGAGGCAGCTGCTATCTGCTTTCTTTCCTCATTGTGGGCCACTTTCTAGATCCTGCAGCCTTCTTGGCCATCAGGCTGCTGGGGAGGCAGATAGCCTGACATGGAGAGTAGAGCCTTCTGCACCCTCCTCAAGAGTGAGCACAAAAAGAAGCATCGGTTGAGCGAAGGCAAGGTGTGGAATTGGCCAGCTGGTGGGCAGGTAGGTGGGCTGCCTGCCTGCCTGACTTAGCCACCCTTTCTGCTGCAACCAAGAGGCAGGATGACCCACTTGGGCAGCCCCATTATACGTTCCTCCAGCCATTGCAGCAGGCCCACCCCAGCCAGCAGTGCAGAAGCCATGCCTCAGCTTGCAAGTGGTGAGGTAATTCAAGAGGGGCAGCTTATATTAGAATTAGGAAACAATGGATTATGAAAAGGCCCCAAGCAGTTCTGTTCATAATCATATTCCAACCCATTGTTCTTACTGTTGCTGCAAAAACACTTTTCATGTCTACCTGCCTCCTTCTCTTTTCTTCTTCTTCTACACATAGAAAGAGTGTACTTCCTGGGAGTAAGTATCCCTGCACACAGAAGGACTTACTTCAGATCAAGCATGCATTAGACTGTGTTTCTAAGGAAAGGGAGATATTGGTGTTGGTTGTGTGAGTCTCTCTCTCTCTCTCTCTCTCTCTCTCTCTCTCTCTCTCTCTCTTTGTGTGTATGTGTGTGTGTGTGTGATCTTCTTTATTGTGTGTGTGTGTGTGTGTGTGTGATCTTCTTTAGTCAGAGGGAATGGAAAATAGGAACAATCTTCATGGGGGGAAAAACAAATTACTCTTTTACTTCCCAAGAATGTTTAAGTGATTTAAACAGTTAGCTCTGTTTCACATTAGATGGACAAGATTTTGTGCCACAAGCAAAATATTCCTTTGGATCCAAGGCAATGACACACCAGTAAAGAAAAAAAGACTTTAAAAATAATTGAAAGAATAGAAAAAGAGAGGAGTCTTAGTTAAATAAGTATACAACAAATAGCATAAAAAAGGATGAAAGACTAACTCTAATGCAAAGCAAAGATACAATTTGAAACCCCTTGTGCCACTGGGAGCCCCTGGAAACCGGGCATTTGTTCTATTTATCCAAATCCCAGTGTCCCTTGTGGGAACTACACAATGTCTTCCAGAATGGCATGTGCTGAAACTCAACAAAGGCTCAGTATTGTAGTTCTTTTATACCTTTAAGACAGATAGCACCTACCTGCTTGGCTAGGATCACAACATGTCACCAATTGGTACATTTATAAGGAGTTCCCTCTCTAATTGGCAACCTGGTAATTTTTCTCTCTTCAAAGGACTTCTTTCATAAGCAAATTGATAACATGTTGATTTCCCAGACATAGGTGTCTGATTTTACTGACCTTGGCTAGCATAGCAGAAGAGTGCAGTGTTAATAGGATGGGAGACTGTTTTCCAAGTGCTAATTCTTGCCATGCACCTTCCTGGATTATCTATCATTTCATTGTGAATGCCAAATGCAAGTTCTGCAGTGGAAGCTGCCAGAGGTATAGAAAGCTCCAAATGAACCTTAATCAGCAGTGGAATATAATAGAGTGTTGTCATATGCTCATTTGGAGGTAAGATCCGAATAGAATAAATAAAGATGGATAGGATCAGGCTGCATATCCTTGACATATGTATTTGGGGGATTGGGGGATAGAGAAGAAGGGAAATATTTTCAATATTGAAAACAGATATTTTTTAATATATTTTTTTTAAATTATTTCATTTGTATCCTACTCAAATAGTAGCAAACATGGATTCCCCACCTCTGTTTTTATCCTTACAATAAGGATAAAGGCTAGTGAAGTAAGTAATCATCATAAGTGGCACAAAGTCACTAGCAGGATGGAAAAGTGGATTTAAGTTTCCAGTACATTTATGATACTCTGTCCAATCACTGTGTGGTTCTCTCATACATATGTGGTAATCAATTGTCTACAGTCAAAGAGGATTTTGCATGCCTACCAGTCCTGTCTGAGCAGAAGTGATACTGGGTCAAAACGTATGAATGAACACATCACATGAAATCATGCTTTTTGCAGTTCTCCTTCAAGTCTCTTGTTGTTATACAGTGAAATTTTATCCTTCTTAAATTAAAGCTGTAAGCCATTATGTGCAGTGGAGATGATAATGTGTATGTATTATTATCCATTAGCCAACTAACATTCTACACTACTAATTTTCCCCTATAGGTAGAAAATGAGAAAGATTTACAATGTAAGCAGCAACTGTCTGAGCAGTATGATCTACTGAAAAGAGAACAGGAGATGAGACTCCAAGGTAAGAGTCAAAAGCTTGCCTACAATATGCAGGAATTTCCTCTAGTTTCTTCTAGCCGAGTAGTAATGTACGTGCAAATTCCGAAAGGGTGTTGGGTGTGTCACCCTTATTTTAGAGTGATGGGGTCTGTAAGATAGGAACAGCAGAAGTTCAAAGGCACATGTTGTTGTCAGGGGCAACAACCAAAACAATTAACAACAACTAATTGAAGGACTGTAGGGGAGAGGCAGTAGCTCAATGTTAGAGCACATGTTTTGCACTCAGAAGGTCGCAGGCTGAATCGAATACCTCTCCGAGTAGGGTTAAGAAAGAATCCTGCCTCAAACTTTGGAAGCTGCTGCCAGTCAGTATTGACAAAGACTGGACTCTCTCTCTCTCTCTCTCTCTCTCTCTCTCTCTCTCTCTCTCTCTCTCTCTCTCTCTGTGTGTGTGTGTGTGTGTGTGTGTAAAACGACATAGTGGCATGTTACCTTAATTTACATGCAAAGCTGGGGCCACCCCGACATAATGAATCATCTATCTGTGTACATTAAAATAATAAACAGACACTCATAACTGAATTATATGGATCAACAGTCCTTTCTGTGTAATGTTCTTATGGTTACACAGGGCCATCCTCTTTGCTGTTTTGAGAGTTGGTTCTGCAGACTTAGTAAGGCTTACAGGAGAACCTCAAGTAACTTGTCCCATTGGTTTCAAGGAATCTACTCCCTGTGGTGTAGACCTGCCACCCCATGGGTAGCCAGAGTGCCGGCACATCTCCTGCAGCCAGGGTCTTGCAGGATCTCTTGCTGTTGGCTCTGTCAGATCACTGTCCCTTCCCTCAACCAGCCACTGGCTCTTTAGATTGGCCCCTTCTTCAAAACCACCCTCCCTTCACTTCTCATAGGGATTTTTTTCCCTTCCTCTCCTCCTCTCTTCCCGCTTTGGATGGGTGGGGGAATCTTGTTCCTGCCCATGCTTTGTCCAAGGCAGCAGGAGCTGGCTTGCCCTCTCATTTGCCTTCCCCGCCTGCCTGATCAGCTTGGGTGCCACTTGGCCTTCTGTGTCCCAGTCTTTGTCAGCGCTCTCTCTCTCAAACACACTCTCACACACACTCTCTCACACACACACACACACACACACACACTCACACACACACACACACACCCGCAGCTGAAATTAACCAATTCCATGAAGACTTACAACACCTTCACACACACACACACACACACAAAAGATGTCAGCTGAAACCCAGAAGAGGAACCACCCTACAACTCATTCATTGGGCTGCTCCATGTCCTATTGCTGAGCTGGGAAGCAGGAGGAGGGGACGGAGTAGAAACATGGGGGAGGCATAGTAGGAAAGCCCCAGCAGGTGCCACCACCTCCTGATTTTACAAATTGTGTAAGAAAAAGGTGGGGGTCCTGGTCTCTAGATGACCTTTCTGTTTCCTCCCCATTGATTCCTCATCCCTTTCCCCAGGTAGCTGCAAAGTCATAATGAGAATGTGTGCACTCAGGAAGTGGGTGTGCACATGGAAAGTAAGTGGGTGAAGTCTTGTGGAAGGACCCCACACTTTTGATTTTATGACTACACTCCTTGCCTACTCTAAGTGTAACTTAATCTGGACGAACTCCAATTTTGCCAGTTACCTTTGTGGGCTTAATGCTTATGTTCTCACACTGTTGGTATGAAGCAGTACTCATTTTCTGGGGTTTTTCCCCTGAATATGTTCCTAACAGAGGCAGCGTGATCATTTGCTATACAGCCCTGACTACATGAGAGTAGAGTTCTTCCAATTTCTTTCCTTTGACTGTTTTTCATGTTCCCCCTTCAGAGCTCCAGAAAGCATGTGATCAAGAGAAACTGCTTCTGACCGAATCTTACGAGAAATCCAAGTCATCTTTACAGGTGCTGAGTGTGCTCCAGGTTCATTGCAGCAAATGCTAAGTATCCACAGAGATGATGTCACAGGTCATCCTAGCTCTACCAGGCTTTTGTAGTATTGCGCTGCATGTGTAATACAATGCATTATATTGAAATACAATACATTGCAGATGAAATAGCAGCACATTGAATTGTATTTCATATTCAACCAGATTTAAAAATGGTCTCTATAGCAATTCATCCTTGGAAGTTGCTTGTATAGCTCAGGTCACTAGGTAATAGCAATTAGCATATTATTTACTTCTGCTAAATTCATATAAACAGTTTTTCATTTAAATCAGATGTGAGGAGCTGTTGATCTTCTACATGTTTGGAACTACAATTCCTATAATTGTTTAGCACTGGTCATGATGGGTAAGGCTGATGGGAATTGTGGGCCAAAGCTTCCAAATGGCCAAGAGTTTTCCATCTGTCATTTAGGTAGAAATCAGTTGAAAGTAGCTTCATGAATAGCTTTTAAAAATAAATAGTAGATAGAAAGGTCTGGATCAGGACCCTGGTGTGGAGCATGGGGTTGGCTGTAAGCTTGTGCCTTCTCCTGTTGTCCCAACTGGGATCAAGTCCTCTGCACTTGCTATGTACCAGTATCACCGATGGAAGCAGTTCTGTCATGGAAAAACCTCATTGGATTTCACCCAAAATGCTCATCTAGCTTTCAGAGTGGCATGTCTTTTTATTGGTAGCACTCTGTGTCTATGTCTTCGTCCTTGAGTATATAGAGTGTATGCCTCTTGTAGTGTCATGGGTATACATTAATTTATCCTGCCTCGTCTTTCTACTCTAGGAGACCATAGACAGTCTGAGTTCCCAGATGAAGTCCTTCCAAGAGAAAATGAAACGGGTGGAAGAGTCAATCCTGAGCAGAGATTATAAGAAGCACATCCAGGTGCCATAATCAAAATCAGACATAGTCTGATGTGTGGGTCTCTTTTCATCTGTTTATTGATAGAAGAACAAAGCCATAAGGCCACCTCCTTCTCGCATTCCAAAGATGAGAAACCTTTTCCAGGTTTTTCTCTCGCATGTTCAAACAGTGCCTGAAGAGAAGCGAATGGGATGCACTAATTTCACCCACAAAGTCCCCCTCCTTGCTGCCCCCATCCTCAACCTTGGAGCATTGAGGACAAAAGTCTGAAGGACAAATATTCATGCTTTCAGTTGGCCATGCTTCGAATATTTCAGGAGATGTTTGGGAATCCCAATCTATGTTTGAACATGCAGAGGAAAACCTCTGGAGGGACGGAATTTGAACTGTTATTATTTTAAAAAAAGTAAATAGGTCCAGCTGCTTTGCATTGTGTTTGAGAAGTGCTTTATTGTTGTCATTTGTTAGTATTTTTTAAAAAATAACTGGATGCATTGCTCATTTTTTGTTACTTTAAAAAGGGGATCAATATGAGCATAGCAGAAAACTTGAAAAATTCCCATCAAAAGGGCCTATAAATTCCCTCTTATGGATATCTTTACAAAGCGACTGAACAATGCCATGCAGTCTACCAAAGGAGTAGCTTTTTTCCTATTTGTTATGTCCTTTTAAAAGGTGATTTTGTTATGCCTTTTGTTAACTAAAAAGAGAGGAATTCTTTATTAGTAACTACTTTACTTAGAAACCATTCCTTCCAAGTTGTCCTGAAACAGGGCAGTACAAAAAAGAAAACAAAGTCTAAAGAGCGGTGTTTCCTGAGGTTAAAAATAGGGGAAATAGTAAAATGCTAATATGCCTTTCTTTAAGCCAGAGCTGCCATGCCAAGGCATTGGCATCCCAGACATTTGGCCTAGCAATGGGCTATGAAAGCAAGAGGGGCCATATCAGCAGAGGACTGATTCAAAAATACATAGTAAGCCAATACTTTATTAGGGCCAAGCAAAAAGGCACAAAAAGTGTGCAAAAGCGCATACAACTGTGCAAAATTTTGAGAGACTGCTGTCTTAATTAGGCACATATAAAAAGTTAGCATGATGGGGGAAAAGGCAGAGAGGAAGATAGTGTCACAGGAGGTAATGCAGGAGGGTTGCTGCAGACAAAGGCCTGCATTTCATCAGATGATAATGGTGTTAGGTATAGCTTGGCATACACAGGAGGTAATGCAGGAGGGTTGCTGCATTTCATCAGGTGATAATGGTGTTAGGTATAGCTTGGCATTGCCCAGACAGATTTCTTCAGAGCTCAAAAGCTGGAAACCTTTGGCACATCATCTTGGACAGTGTCAAGTCCCCACAGTGAACTTAGCGTCCCATCCATTTTATCTGGGTACACAGGCTTCTTGGTCAATGGAAAACCAAGAGTGCCACAAGGCAGATTTTATGCTGGAAATAGTTTCCAAAGATAAATAGTTTAGATAAACAAAGTCAAAGTAGCCAAGTTGTGCTGCTCTACCTGTTTTGCTTTATGTTGCTCAATCTCTGATGTAAACTTTTCCTTCATCAGTCCCATATTTCCAATGGCTAAATGAGATATCCCCAAAGTTACAAACAGAAGCCAAGATAGCTGTGTTTGCATAAAGTAAATTCCAAAACACATATTAAAGTGATAACTTTTGTTAGGCTAACCATTGTGCCCAGACAAAATGAATCCAGCTTGAGTTCACTGCATTATTCTTAATAGGCATAGCTAGGAGTGTACTGGACATAATGACCTACATTAGCAAATTAACCCTTATAATTGCAATTAACAATCCTATACAAGTATATGTTTAAATCACCCCACTTATTTTCTAGGATTATGGGAGCCCCAGCCAATTCTGGGAACAGGAACTAGAAAGTCTACATTTTGTCATCGAAATGAAGAATGAACGCATCCATCATTTGGACAAAAAGCTGCTGAACCTGGAAACAGTGGTAGGTTTGATGAGGTTGTTCCTAAAAAATAACAAGAATTTCTGAGGGAGACTTTTATGTCTTATATCTGAGCTGCCTCTCTATTCTCCAGTTGTGTCTCTTCAGTTTTTAATATACCATATTTTCCCATGTATAAGATGATACTTTTGTCTAAAATCCTTACACTAAAAATTGAGGGTCGTCTTATACACAGAAGTAAGCTGAGGAGAGAACAAAATGGCCCATACTTTGCCTCTGCAAACAGGCTTCCTTCAGTCACGAGGCTTAGCTTCCTACAGTCAGGAGACTTAGCTTCCATCACGAGCCTTATGTAACTGATGTCAGCTGATGTTGTACAAACCAATTGGAACACACCTTGTTGGAGGTGGAGCCTGTAGACAGTGCTCAGATTCAACAGGGACTTGTAATGTCTGAGTGTTCTAGCCCAGAAGCTGAATACCCAAAGCTAAGTTTTCTTAATTTGGGGTTAGAAAAGTGGGGGAGGGGGATCTTATACATGGGGGCATCTTAGAGACAGAAAAATACAGCATGATTATGAGTTTCCAGGATTGCACTTATGCATCGTATCTGTGTTAAGTCTTGCTATATTTAAACGCTTGTCGGGCTTGCCACAGATGGAGAGAAACTTGTTACTTGAAGAGAAAGTGAAACTCCTTCAACAGGAGAATGAAGACCTCCAAGTACGGATGCAAAACCACATAGCAGTGACAAGGTAAAACCTCTGGCCCACTTTGTCTTTGTGAAGGAGTTTGGGAGATGTGTGCTCAGAATATCTAGATAAAGCCTCAAGGTCAATAGTATGTAGTAGAGATGGGCACGAATCTCTGAACCAACAATTCATGCCAGTTTGTCCTCAGCTGAACAGGTGTTTAGCACTTCTCAGCCCTGTCTCCTCCAATGGGCATCCACTCAGAGGTAGAGCCTTGGATTCCCTGCCCTGCCTCCTCCAGGTGCTGCCTCTTGAGTGGGCGCTTGCCAAAGGAGGCAGGGCTGGGAAGTGCCAAACACCTGTTCAGCTGAAGGGTGAACCAGCATGAACCACTGGTTCGACAGTTTGTGCCCATCTCTAGTATGTAGATATATTATAAGACATTGTTAGAGAGATGTCTCAGGGCTTCCTTGTACACAGAGGCCTCTGAGGGCTCAGAGGGAGCCATATGGATGTTGACAGTTCTCTAAGGAACTGCACCTGCTGTTCTTTGCAGCTAGCACTGTTCTCTGAAAAGCAAGCCCACTTGTTCTGAACCACAGCCATTGAGGGTGGCCACCTTAGTCTGTGGGGCATCTTGTACTGCCACTGGCAGCCTTCTGTGTGTGCCTATGCCTGCCAATGTGCTTCTGTCTTAACAGGCAACTCTCTGAAGAGCTCCTCGGTGCTCGTGAGGCCCTGGAGAAGGAGTCACAGCTGAGAGAACAAGCTCACCGGGAGAAAGAAGAGCTGCTGTATCGAGTGCTCAATGGTGATCCTGCTCACCTCTTTCCTATCTCCACGGAAGCAACACTCATTGCAACGTAGCACTTTGGAAGGCTGATAAGAACAAAAAAAAAGAGGATAGCAGGGGGACTGTTCTGTCATTCCATTCTAGTCCTTCTCTTGTCAGCTAGATTTAAAGCTCAGTGCTGTGGGAGGTTTCTGAGGTACTGTGTGCTTTGATTCTCTCCTGTAGAAGGCCTCGTATGTCTGGCTCTTAAAACAGGCCCAGCAGTTGTGTCTCAGGAATGGAGTTGCTGTCCCTGCTCCCCACACAAAGGTCAGCTTTGATGCTAGCCAGGAGACACTGTTAACCTGGCTTCCATTTCACTGTAGGCAAATAGGCATGGGCCAGGCTGGCTAGGGAAACAAGAAAAATAACTGCCTCAGACATTAGACTTATATGAGGTAAGGTGGTGTCACCATTACTCTTGGTTCACTATTTCAGTTAGCATTAGCTGTAGGTGGGCGAAAACCACACAACAAAAATGAGAGAGGAGATACTGAATAAATGTGCTGGCCCAGTTCCCCACATGTTGTCATCTGGGCTGGGGACAGGTGCCCCTCTGAATGTTGTGAGACTGGAATCCCTGTCATCACACAACATTAGCAGTGGTGACGATATCTGGTGCATCTGGTAAGCCACAGATTCCCTTTCCAGTGACAGATGTCTCTGAGGAAAGAAACGTTTGCATTTCCATGCAGCTGTTTCCATCTGAGCTGCAGGAGCTAAACCTAGTCCACATACTTAAGTGGAGAACTCAGTTGGAAATATGAACGTCTGTAATTAAGGTGTGTTTTAGATGTTCTCCATCCACTTGGACAGGCTTTGTTTTTGGATGGCAGGTCCAAGATTCCTCCAGCCAGCATGGCCTGTTCTGCGGAGCTGCACCAGAGATGGGAGTTTCTAGGAATACAGTTTCCTAGCCAGAGATTCTGATATCTTCTGGGAGTGGCAGTCCAAAGAAGTAGCATCACATCTCTGCCAACAACATTCTGTGGGTTGAAGTCTAAATAAGTAACTTCTTCAGGCTCTCCCCATGGTCAAATGGCAGCTCCTTGTCTATGAATGATTCTCTTGAGGTTGGGAGAACATTTTAAAAAATGACAACATGTATAGGGTTTGATGACTGTAGTTAGTCGGTCTTTCCTTTCAAACCCATGATGGTGACCGACTGCTACCCATATGTTTGGATTGTTTAGATATCAGAAGGGCTGCATCCAATAAGCAACTTACACACAGTTGGGAGGGGAAAAAAGAGGAAAAGTCACAGTTCTGCAGGTCTCAGTTCAGTTCTTTCCAATATAGATATTAATATTTCAATAGAAAATCATTTTGCCTGCTTTGACAGGATTATTGTTTTTGGTCAGTTCAGATTGTCAGTTATTTGAGAATAGCATGTTAGGAAGGGCATCAAAATGCAAGCATTTGGAAATGGGGTTGGAGGGCACTTCCATTTTTTCCCTCCTTTTAATGTGACTATTTTGTGATAATAATAAGAGAGGGTGCCCTCTACTGGCTGTGATGCAGGATCATTAGTTGCAGAGAAATGAATGACAAATGAATTATTGTTTGTCCAAACTGCAGAAAATACGGTAGAAAAGGGACGGAAACTGAGGGGTATAACATGCATAATCTGAGTTGGAACAAAGTCAGTGTAAAATGCATTATTCAAATGAAGGAGCATTTTGTGCTCCTTGTCCTGGTAGATGTAGTGGCCCATGCGAAACAGAGCATGCTGTGATTAAACCCTGTTCAGAGAACAACATGATGTTTAGAGAAAGCCAGTGGATTTCAGTTTTCTCCCTGGGAAAATAAGCCAAGGTGTACCACTTTTGATAGCCTTAGCCCAATGCAGCCCACAAATTGCTACCCACCCCAGTTGTTTTTGGAGTACCAAGCTGGCAAGCTGCAAAGCTAGGAGACTGATCCTGCCCATAATTCAGCCTTGCCCAACTTTTCGGACCACAACCCAATCACCCCCAGCAGCTGAGAGGACCTATAAATTTGTTGTCCCATAACTGATATCACAAGTTAACGGGCCTAGGGCTGCTTAAGGGGTTTCTGAGAGGGTCAATGGAAAGGGACCATGTTCGTTGTATGCAGAAGGCTCCAGGCCATGTCATATCCAGTTAAATATAGCCAGTCCGGAAAAACACCTCTGCCCAGGACCTTGGAAAGCTGCTTTCAGGTATAATAGGCAATTCTGGAGTAGGAGTTGCAGAGTTGTGAACTTCGAAATTCCTCTATTTGTTGTGCAGCAGAAGTGAAGGGATTTACAGAGCAGAATAGCTTCAAGTTCATCAGAGTAGTGCACCCCTTTTCTCATTAACTGGCACTTAAGGTCTCAATAACTCACACTGAGAAATTTATAGGAGAAAGAATAAAAACATTTTCTTTACTTATAGTTGTGAACAGATCCAACAGTAAACTGAGAAACATAACTGCCTTCAAGTGCAGATGTCAGCAGACTCTAGGGAAAAAGACACAGAGCAGAGAGGTGGGGCTTTCTTTGAATTCAGAGGAAGGGAAAGAATGATTGGTTAGTGCTGGATAGATTGACAGTCACCCCAGTCCAGAAAGGTCCCTCCCATCAGATAGCCAAAGAAATTGTTCATCTTCTCCCCACAAGACAGATTTCCTTCCTAAGCATCCATGGCTGCAAGGTGATTTAAACATGGTCTTCCTTTCCTGACCATGATATTTGTTGCTAGGAGTAGATCCAGGCGTCAGAAAACAGTTCCTAAATGTAAATAACTCTTCTTATGCAGCCACATTTCCCACATGGGCCCTTTGGAAATAGAGTCTCAGTGACATTTCCATACCTGATCTTGTCCAGAATGTGGTACACAGCACCAGGTAGATGCCACAGGAAATGAGTATTTTGGGGGAGGGAGATGAAAAAGGAAACCTTGCAGGCTTTGGGGGCAGCCGCATTTTGCCAAGAACACAGAATGGTGGAGGATCTGCAAGTGCCTTCTTGAGTGCAGTGAATCCCAAACATTTCCACCAAAAGCTGCTTGCTGAACAATAGAAGCCTCAGCAACTTCAGCCTGCCATGTGCATTGCCTTACATATTAAGTGCTCACTCCTCATGCATTAGCTCCACCAAAAACAAAGATCAACCAGCGAGGCTTGGTTTAGCGTTCAACCTCCATTCTGACAGAACAGCTCTGGACTACTTATGGTTGTGAATTTGTCACGAGCATAAGATCCTCTGTGATGCAATAAAGGTGACAACTTTTCTGAGATCCTCCAACTGAGAAGTCACACAGTTGGACAAATTTGGCTATGTGGCTCTTGACATCCCTAACTTTCTGACTTGACTCTGTAGTGAAGAACAGCTACAAGCAGTTTCTGTAACAAAATCCAACAGGTGACACATTTGGCTATGTGGCTCTTGACATCCCTAACTTTCTGACTTGACTCTGTAGTGAAGAACAGCTACAAGCAGTTACTGCAACAAAATCCAACAGGTGACTAGCCTATCAAAAGAGTCATCCTGTCTTCCCAAATAGCCACTGCCCCTCAGCCCCTGCACACCCTCCTTTTAAAACACTGACATGGAACGGGAAATTGCACAGAAAAGTCTTTTTGTGCCATCATGTGAGCATGGGGGTAATTTTGGCATATTTTGAAATTCCCACAACACCCTGGCACTCCTATACCCCACACCCCCAAAATAAAGTAAAGTTGTCCCTAAAAGGCATAAGGAACCTATTTTTGGTTGTTATGGATTTTTTGAGCTCTTTGGCCATGTTCTGAAGGTTGTTCTTCGTAATGTTTCACCAGTCTTTGTGGCTGGCATCTTCAGAGGACTGGAGTAGGAACTCTGTGCTCTGGTTGCATAGCAAAAAAAGCCCACAACAACTTGGAGTAGGAACTCTGTCTGTGCTCTGGTTGCATAGCAAAAGTGTTCTGAAAAAGCCCACAACAACTATCTGATCCCGGCTATGAAAGCCTTCGAGAATACATTGGACCTTTTTTTTTTTTTTTTTGAAAAGCATTTTTCCAAGAAAAGTGGAGTGGAGAAAGTAGGCAAGATGCTCCAAGGTTTGGGGATGTGAGTAGTCCCCAGTACTCTGGAAATCACCCAGCCCTGGTCTACAGTTTTCAAAATCTCTGACTATTGGGCACAGCAGCCGGGACTTCTGGGGGTCAAAACACTACATCTATAAAACAAGGTTGAGAACTAAAAGGTTAAACAGCAGGACTTGTTGTGTTCAGTGGGATGTCTGAATGCATGGCTAGAATCACACTGTGTGACTTCACTGTCCTCACACAGCCCTGTGTCCTGTGCAAGAACTTTTTTCAGATGGAAACATGAAGGTGAAAGATGTTGTGTGCATGTTATGTTGGAGTAAAGCCAAAGAGTTTAACTGTCCTTCACTGATAGATGATGCATCTTTTGGAAGACTTGCAACAACTGGTCCTATTGCAGACCATTTGGGAATGTGATGTTATATATGTATAGAGTGCTCTGGGTCACAGAGAAGTTAAGGAAATCTGGCTAGGGAACTGGCTAGTGTGGGATGGAAAGATGCCATGGAAATTGTTGCATAGAACCAGTGAAAAGGGGAGAAGATGAAGTGGAACATCACAAATAATTGGGGGGGGGGGAGGAATGAAAATAAAATAAATGGGTGTCTTTGAAATAGTAAATATAACTTCCTGAGGAAACCAATCTGGGTCTATTTGTTCTCTTTTTTCCCCCAATTTAAGAAAATCAGACATAATTTCTAGTGCTCTGCAAACCTAAAGAAACATTTGACCTTACAATGACTGTTTACACCCTTACGGTTGGGCTGCAGCTCCATCTGATACAGAGACCACTCGCTCCTTTCAAGCATCCCAAGGACAAAGTTCTGCAACCAGCTTAAATTTGACTAGAGGACCAGAAGTAATTTTTCTTAATATCTTCTCTCCCAGGTTTATGCTCACCTCCGCTTTAAACAATCATTTAAGCCTCAGATTGGCATGTTCCATTCTAATGCTATTGCTTTGTTAGTCAAAATATCAGTGAGCAATGGGGCATAGTCAGGGTAGACAGGAATGGAGGCAGGGGGCCCCTTTCTTTACAAAGGACCATGGCAAATTGGCCCAATGGCCTCCTCATGCAACGCTACTGGGCTGCATAATGCAGTGGTGTAAAATGCCCTGCTACTTCCTGGCTTTCTCCCAGGCACTGACTATGAAAAGATATCCCTTATTTTCTGCTTTCCTTTCAGTGATCTCCAATTCCACTTTTAGGATCCAAATGAAGCCTCTATTTTGTGGTAGTTCTTCATGGGTAGTGACTGTACATCAATAATGATATTGCCTTGAAATCTTGATTTCTCATCTACTGTGGCACTGGTTGCACAAGCTGATGTCCCAGGCCATTGCCCAGATTAGCCCGTTCTAAGGCGATTTCTGCATATATCAATAGAGATATGCTATTGGACTCCTATCCAGCAAGTCATAGAATTGTATGGAAAGGGTCAACAAGGTGCACAATGGCAGACTTTGCTCATGGCTAAGGAATTCTTCATCAGCAATTAACTCAGCAAATTTTTCATAACTCTGGGAAAGTGAGCTAAAGATGAAATGATGTAGAGCAGAAAATGGGTGCATTGAAAATACCGGACAATCCATGCTGAATCTGTTTTCAAAATTCAGATCCCCCCCCTCCCAACCAAAGTGGTGTTCTTGATATTTATCGGTCTGTATGTTTTTGGACTTACAGTAAGTGTGGTATTAATCTTTTATGTAAAAGATTAGGTTTAGGACATCAGAATTAATCAAGAATAACTCTTTAAAAATGTGTCTTTAAGCTCATGTCTCAGAAGCTAAATTTGAAAGCAAGATGGTGAATATTTTAATTTCAACAAAAGTTCATTTTGGCTTTGATTCAGTGCTTTGTGTTGGCAAGTGACACTGGCATTAAGACTCAAGAAAACCTGATATATATTTTCTTGCTTTTCACATTTTGATTCAGTATTGCTTTTGCATTTTTTATTTTATGCTAAGCTATGCAAGTTGTCTACATATATAAAGCTGCACGAGTGCAATCTGCCAGATTTCTATTGAGAAAGGTACACTTTTGGGGATCATGCTGTTCTCTCCCTAGCAGCATGATCCCTATCCAGACTGGAACCACCCTCAGCATGTAACTGCCAACATTTAAGAGAGATTAGATCACCGCCATCAGCTCATGTAGTCTGGCCCTGTAAACCAGGGCATTTATTTGGAAACAGAATTCTCGAGGCAGTTTTTCTTCTAGCAATTTGAATACCTGATAATGTTTTCACATCTTTCACAATATTCTGTAATAAAAAGGAAAATTCAGTATCTTTGCTTAGGGGAAAAAAACTTAGCTACTGTATTTTAATGAATAAGTAACAAGGGGTAAAGAGCAACTTTAGGGAAGACAAATCTAGTTTGCTGGTTTCACACAGCAGCCAGGACAGAGGGGGGTTACCGACAGAGGGGGGTTACTCAGACCTTGTCTTCTTTGGAGATGGTGTGGTGGGAAGCAAGCGAATTCGAGTAGACACTGTAGTGGTGCCCTGCAGATTTTCAGCAGTGCAATGGTACAGCCCATCATCCACAGCCCGTGCTTCATCTATGTAAAGGATGCTTTCGGATTCCTTCCGCACCTGCCCACCATGTCGCACCAAGTCTGCACGCTCACGAACGTATGGTGGCCTACCCATCTGAAAGGGAGGAAAAGCATTCTTCTATAAATACTTCTCTCACACCAAATTGTGGCAGAACACACAAGCTGATCAACATCTGAGACTACCAGAAATGCAACAGGGTAATTGTCATGTCTGTGCTGTCAGGATTCATATCTCTATCACTGTTCTTTGGATTTCCTCTCCGGCATGCTTTCAAGCCCCCACACCTTTGTGTCTTTTAAATTTTTGTTAGGTGTCTTGGGGTTGTGATCCCTGAAAGGTGAGTTAGAACATTTTAAAATGAAAGTAAAATGAGTTCATAAAATGCTAACTCAATGAAATTAGGGTAGTTACTGAAGAGCTGTCCTCAGCACTGATGATGATTCTCCCTTTCACAATTAATGGGCTTGAAAGATACGTCTGGACTACAGGTTTACTGCCTTCTTAATGCGAAAGCACTGCCATGTTCATGGAATATTATGGGGTGTGTGTCTAGTGAGTGAGTGTGTGTATGTGTGTGTGTGTGTGTGAGACAGAGATTTATTCTACTTGTAACCCTCCTGTGTTTTCCAATTACTTTATCTTTTTTCTTCCACCAAAAAAGCAAACAATACTAAAAAACCAAAATACCCTTTAAGGATTAAAATATGAAATAACTGCACAATGCCTTTCTACAGAAAGTGCAAAAAGCTGTCCATCTGGAAGCACCCAATGTATGAACTACAGAATCAGGGGTTGGCAACTGTGATCTTCTAACTATGAGTACATGTGTCTGTTTGTTCTGCCTACAACTCCCATCAATCATAACCAGTGAGAGTTGCAATTAGAAAACTTCTGGAGGGTTACAGTTGCGCACCAATTCAAAATAAAATAAAATGAAGTAAAATAAAATAAAACCAGGTGTTCATGTTGTACATGATAATTTCGCTGGGTGTTACACCCCCACCTCCAAAAACAAGAAGAGGGCTCATCTACACTGGGTCTTTTGGAGAGGGTGAATGTGTTGGGGTTGCTTGGGGTTGGATGAAGGTACAATATGCCATTTGGTGTGATCCTTGCATCCAAATGGCATATTGAAGCTCAAATGACCCTATTTGGTCCGACTCCTTCTGATGTTGTGAAGTGGCTCAATAAGTGAGCCACTTCAGGATATTGGTAAACTGAACACTTCCTCTGCTTCTTGGCAGAGGGGCAGGGGAAGTGAAATTTGTTTTATGACTCTGGTAGGCATTACTTTTTTAAAAGAGGGAAACAAATATTTTCTTGTCTGAAAGGCTGGTCAAGGAATTCCTGCTCTGTGGAATCTTGGTCTACCAAATCTTGGTCTACCAAAATCTTAAAAGACATTTCACTTCCTCTGCCCCTCCATCAAGGAGCAGAACAAGTGTTCAGTTTCTTTATATCCTGAGGTAGCTTACTTATTAAGCCACTTCACAATATTGGAAACTCCAATTGGAAGGAGGCTTGACAGCTGGGAAGGCTCACTTTTGGTACATTCCCAGTGATCAGACACACTGGAAATGGACCAGAAAAGAGTGATCTTACCGACATATGCAAAAAGTAGAAGCCTCTCACATGGGGTCAAACAGGTGCAGGTAGGACAGCTCTGGAGACAGTTTGGTTTCCTTCATTTATTACAATGTGTGATCATCAGAAGAAAAGAGAGCAAACTGACCCATCTTCACAGCAGAACAAACAGCAAGACAAATGCCCATCTGATCAAGCACAGGGTCTGTCTCTGACCTGTTCCTTCAAGGAGGTCAGCCCAATTGTTATAGTATTTGTCTTGGTTTGTCTTGGCGTGGCAGTTTCTTGGGCCATGACAACCTTTTGTTCAGATTTGTAAGAGAAAAATGCCACAGACTGGCAGTAGAGCAAAAAGTCTGAAAGAGTCGTGTAGCAGGAGGTGAACCAGTTTGTTGTTCCAACACCCACTGGACCCCATCAGCACCCTGCCACCTACTTGCTGTCCTGGATATTCCCAGGTGAAGTCAACAGCTATTTCTGGTTCCCCAAACACAGTGCAGGTGACATTGAAGTTGTCTCCAATCTGAAAGAGGGCAGATGAGGCTCGGACAGCAGGTTTAGGAACTGAGGAGGGATCTGCAGGTTCAGAAAGAAAAGGTGAAACATTCTGTGCACACAAGGACATCTCTCTCTTTTTCAGTTGTTGCTGGCATGTATTCCAAGATCATTTGCTACCAGTGCTTCATAATGGACAGAAGTGGGCAGACTTTAGACTGATCGGATGTTATTCCTTTTTTCACTAAAGGTCCATTAACTGAGCAAGAAGGCGGACATGGAATTACAAAGCATGGTGCCTCTAAGCACACGCTTAGGGTTTCACAAATAATTTTCCACCCAGTTTTCTTGTTTTCAGCAACTTCATTTAGGAAGGAAAAATACTTTTTGTTGACAGTATTATTAGATCATCAGAAGTCAGATGCCTTTACTGATCTCCCACAAATTACAAAGAGCTGTACCAGTAGACTCTGATCTTTCTTCTTCGAAATATTAGGACTGTACTATAGTGAAATCCCACAATGGGAACATAAACTGAATGGGAATGTGGGGGAAAGATGCTGTGGGTGATACTTCTAACATGCTTCACTGTGAAACACTACGGACACCCTGAAAGTGTCACTACTTCCTCCATCGTCTCATAAGAATTAAAAGCTTCTGACTGGACCTGATCACAACCAAGTTCCTGATTGGCTGGAAAGGGAGGGCGGCGATCTATATATACTCCTGGGTCAGTTTCAACCTTTTTGCAACATAGGGTCTGCAAGCCATGGCTTTTCTTATTTGATCCAGGTAGCCAATTTCCCATCGGCCTTGTTCCCTTGGAGATTATATTTGTGAAAATATGACAATGTAGCTGCATCTGCCACCCATAGGAAAATTCATTAAAAGTCCCCCAGTTGAGCATATTGGCACATAAGCTTCACTTCACCTTCTTTTTTAAAAAATCTGCGATGGTGCTGAATTTCTCTCCCTGGTAGATACTCTTGCCCTCTTTATTCTTACAATGTTTGGGGGAGAATTTATGGCCTTAGCTTTGTATTTTAACAGTGGTTTTACAACCACATATCTGCCTAGCTATGTTCAATTAATGGAAGGCAGCGAATTCCCTCTTTGCCTATTCTGTCCCCAATTTCCTTCTCTTTTTTGGACCTTCCCTTTACCCAGATGTTGTCTCCCAGGAATCCCCCGCTCCCACCCACTTCTCTTGACTTCTTGCCTTTTCAGATCCACGGCTTTGCTGTCCCAAGCTCCTGCTGCTTCTAATCCTCCTTTCCCGCCTAGGATCTGAATTTCCTACTATCTTCGGTTAGTAGGCAACCTGTTGCTCTCCAGAAGTTTTTTCAGACAATAGGACCCACAAATCATGGCCACAGGTTCTTGGCAGTTGGCATTTAAAACATCCGAAGGGCACCAGGAGGCCACAGTCAAATCTATTCTGCTCAGCCACTGGACAGCCCAAGATTCTCCTCTGATATGGCTCAGACCATACGTGCAAGACAAGGGGTGAGATCATTTGACTCCTTCAGACATTACAAGCTAGAATTCCCACCGTTGCTACCCCACATTGCCGACTCCAAACCACTCTGGGAATTGTAACCCAAGATATCTGAAGGAGGGATATAACGACTGAAATCCTGTTTGTTAGCATAGTAAGTCACAACTTGAGTAGGCCCATTCGAATCAGTGGGACTTACAGAGATGTTGACTCACTAAATCCCCACTGATTCAATGAGCCTGCCGTAGTTGCAACTCACTCCACTAACCAACAGGATTTCAGGCAATATGGATTTACTACTTTCTCCAGTCCCAATGATTTTTAACACTTATTCCCAATGGGGAATCCCTCCAGGAAACCTAGAGTGTTCTTGGAGCAGCAGCAGCAGCAGGAGAATATGGCAGGTACTGTCCCCCATCCCTGTTCTCACTTAATTCTTTTGCAAGATCCAAGTTGGACAGTCCTGTGTTGTTTGTGCTGAAGCATTGTTCTCCGCAGGGTTTTTGCCCTTGCCAATTTCAAGCTGGTTTGCCCCTCAGTTCCAAATGGTTGGGTTAGTGTTAAAGCCTGAAACTGACAAAGGGTGCTGCTAAGGAATCCGGCTGAGAATGGCATCGATTCCTGTTCAGTATCAGATGGCTGCGAAGGTATGTGCCTGATCACACCAGAAAGGGTCACTTTAATGGGACACTTCCATCTTCCAGGAAATTGCTCCCTCCTTGCCCCCAAGGGTCGAAGCCCTACAGCTGGAGCAAAACGATCCAGCCTGGGCACAGATTGGGGTCAGGTTTGGGTATATTTCTGTGCATTGTGGGATTTCTGGGAAACTGACCACTCTGGGCTGCTCCACAAGCAATGCAGACTGTGATCTATGTCCCTGTGTGAAAACCCCCCTGAGGCAGACAAGCTTTGATATGAAAATCTTTCTCTGAACATCAGTGTTTGACTTCCACCCATGACTTTCTTCAGCCCTGACTGATTAAAGGGGTCAGTTCTTCCAATTCCATGCAGCTTCCAGATTTGTGACAGCGGCCAGCTGGGTTCCTGCCACTGACTTGCATTTTAAACAACTAGCTAGCATCTAGATCATAAACATGATCCGTGCAGAGTTTTCACACATTTGAATCTCATACCAATATTCCTTTTCCAGAAGAATTGAACTTTCAATGGATGGAGCTTGTTTTGTCTCTTAAGAACCCTCATCTCTTTCAACATTCTATACTGAATTGATTTCAGTGTAATACTCTAACTTTGCAATATACTAGGGAGAAAGACAAATAGATAGATAAGACAAATAGATCAGCAGCATGTTTCTCTCCTAAACATCTGAGTGCAAATGGCAGAGAATGTCATTATTTTTCTGGACGATGAGTTCAAGATTCCTCCAGCCAGCATGAGCATACTGGTTGTGGGATTCTGAGAATTAAATTTAAAACTAATCTCCTCCCCATGTCTACAGAAGAGAAAGAGGAGATTTACCGTTTATCCTTATGACAACTTACAATTCACATAAATCAGCATATATTTTGTGGAGATCTGCCTCACTCTGTTCATGTTTGCCATGCAGTACAGGGAGCCAGCATAGGAAGGATGCGGCCGATGGATTGTGAACCCTCTCTTCACATTATAGGAGATGTTGATGCCATCCACCGGCACTTTCTCAGGTGGGAACTCCCGGTGTAGTGTCACTTTGGCCCGTGGATCAGTCACTTGGCATGGCAAAAGTGTGGGATGGTTTGTCCGCATCTGGATGACTTCATAATAATTTTCTGTAGGCACAAATAGCTCCTGAGGGTCTAGGAGAAAGCCAAAGGGGACACAATGAACAACAGCACTGACCTGTAAGGGCAGGGAACATGTTAGACTGCAGATCTCATCAGCCACTGCCAGTAAAGCCACTGATGAGGGATGATTAGAGTTACCGTTCTGTAACATCTGGAGAACCTCATGTTTTTAATTTCTGATCGGAGTAAACAAAATTACATTTTGGACTACCAGCTTCAGAATACTCTAGCCAATGGCTACAAGTAAAATCCAAAAAGTACAATATGGAACAAGTAATCCAAAAAGTGATGATTCCAATCTCTGCTCTGACCTGCAGAGACAGTTTCTCTTATGGTAGCTAAAGAATAATTGTCTTGTGGATTGGGGAATGGGAGCATCTCTCACCAAAACTTTGGGAGTTCATGCCATGAAAAGGCTTTCTAGCTTACACATTAACTAGCAGGCCAGGCCTGGGTTTTTTGGTTTGTTTGTTTGTTTTTGTTTCTTTAATGTCCAGTGAATTCGTAAATTTACTCAATAGTGAAATCTTAATTTTTCACCTGTAGTTCTCCTATCTTCACAGGAATATTGAAGAAATCTAGACTGGGCAGTTCTGCATTGCCAAAATAAAATAAAATACATGGCAGAAGATATGGATTGTCTAAACATGACATATGCCAATTTATACAGATAATGCAACTTTCAATATAGGTGCTTTTATTTAAATAGGACCAACAATGTGGGTTGATATAATGGGAAAGAATGGCAGATATCTTGTGTGCCTAATTGCTCAGTCCACTGTTCAAGTAATAACTGGTGATGGAGAAGTTCAGCATTATATTACTAGCTTTATAAATACAAGAAGAGAAGGAAAAGGACAGGAGATTACAATTCATCTTACATTGACTGAAGGAGCTGCTTGGATGAGTAGCAAAATGTTTCACCTGTGACTCAACTTCCAGATAACCACACCTGGATGACTGAGGAATGGGGTGTGCGAGGCCACCAGAATGGTTGAACTGCAGCACCCCTGATACTTTACCATTGGCAATTATAGGAGTGTTACAGATCAACATCATTTGGAAGCTCATGTTTCCCACTTCTGCATAAAACATTTGCTCAGGTCTTGACCCTCTAAAGGAAGCTTAGTTTGCAATAGCTGAGCAGGGCTGTTGAAGACGGGACATGTTGGAGATCACTTTTTCATAGAGTCACCATGAGTTGGCAGGAACTTGATAGCATATAACAACAGCAACAACAAAACTTAGGCTTCAAGTGGTTCAAAAGTAGATGGCCTAAAACTAGTTTCCAGTCCCGTCAGCGAAGAGGGGCCTTCCTTTTAGTGCAACTGTCCCTAACCTGGCTTTTCAGAGATCTGGGCTACAATGTCCAAAGTGTTTATGGGTGGATAGGGATGCAGTCCAATCCTCTAGAGCCATGGTCCTCAACGTTGGGCCTCCAGATGTTATTGAACTACAACTCCCAGAAGCCTTCGCCACCAACTCTGCTGGCCAGGATTTCTGGGAGTTGAAGTCCAAGAACATCTGGAGGCCCAAGGTTGGGGACCACTGCTCTAGAGGACCCCAAGTTGGAAAAGGTTGTTGTAACATTTTGCATTCCACTGAATCACAGAACAGCAAGGCCTCCAGGGAATGCTCCAGCCAAGACAACAAAGTTGTTTCATGTTTAAACCTATAAAAGTCTGACCTGTGAAGAAGATGTATGTTTGGCCCTGCCTGTCCTCTCCGTCATGGCACTCACTGTCATGGCACTGGAAGGACCAACAGCTATACTCTCCTGTATCGGCAGCTGTGGAGTTGAGAACTATCAGCTGGCTGTGCCTCTCAAAGTGTTTGATTCTAAAAGAGAGAGAGAGAGAGAGAGGAACATGGTCATACAAAGGTGGGGCAAAGGGGTGATGAGCACTTTTCCCCTCCAGAAAGCTTCCTCAATAAACACATTCCTCACTCAATGCAACAGTAAGTAATGACCTACATGTATTGGACACAGACGCTGGGAAGCTATGAACATTAAAAATGTAAGGCTTGCTGGATCAGGCCAAAAGGACTATCTAATCCAACATTCTTGGCCCCCATTGTACAAACAATAACTTATGGAAAGATCATGAACAGGATGCAAGTAAATTTGTGCTCCTCTGTTGCCCAGTAACTGGCATGCAGAGGCATATTGCCTCTGATGTTGGAGTCTGTACATAATCATCCCTGACCAGTAACCATGAATTTGCCCAATCTTCTTCAAAAGCCATTGGCACCAATGACCATTATTACCTCTTGCAGTAGCAAATGCCACTGTTTAATTACGTGGTGTGTGAAGAAGGCCATCATTTCTGTCTTTCTTGAACCTCCCATCATTCATCTTCCATGGACAGCCCTGGGTTCTTCTACCAGGAAGATGGGGTTTGGGGACACATCTCCCCATCCATCCCATTCATAAGTTTAAACTAGAGCCCCACCATCAAAACTCACCGGAGACGTCTTTCAACATCATCATCCTCCAGGTAGAGGGGATATCTCCATTTGACAGCCTTTCCTTTGCAGCGCAAGTCCAATGTTTCTCCTGCTTTAAGCACCAAGGTGTCAGAAACCTTCTGAAATTTCCCCTTTGCCACTGCCCTTGTTAGGATAGACATGGAAGGTTGTCCTTGACCCGAAACCACTGTGGATTTGACCTGGCTTTTCTTTGGTGTCACCTCTTCTGTTTTCTGTCCAGTCACTTTGGAAAACTTCGTCTCTCTGGCTTTTGGCTCCTTCATGAGCTTCTTCTCTGTAGCTTTGGAGACTGTTTCTTTTTGGCATTCAACTATGAAGAGACATTTGTAGACATCATAGCGGTACTGTTTCCTCAGACCTGGGCAGGTTGGATGTTTGGAATACAGTTCCCAGAATCCCCCAGCCAGCTACTGGCCACTGGCTGTGCTATCCAGGGAAATTCTGAAAATCATACTTAAGTATGTACCTTCCCATCTCTGCCTTTACTGCACACCTAAACAAAGATTCAAAATGTGGGGATGCCATTGCTATCTCTTGCATCAGCCTTCTCTTGATTACTTTTGATAACCATGTTGTGATAGCTCATATTAAAACACATAGTAACAGAGGTTGCAGAATGAGAGGACACAGTGCCTTGACCTTTGCTTTCAACCAAAGAACCAAGAGTAATTGGAGAGTTGCTCCCTATACTGTATATCCCAGGAAGGATACCTTGAAGAGACCAATTTGGCCCCATCCATTGGCCAGAGAAGCTAAATTTGGGTTGTAATGTCTGTTCTGTCCTAGTATATTCCAATTTTCATAATGGTGTATGTATCTTCTTTACCTTTTCTCTGTCATCCAAGTAAATTAAAATGTGTACAAGGGATTTTATCATCTCTTTAGAGAGTTTCATTATTTCTTTAAGTAAGGTTCATTGCTGTTTTTCTTTCTGACATCTATCTTGCTGAAATTATTGTGTCCAACTTTTTATTCACACTTTTTGATTATCCTTATGGGCTCACTTATTTGTTATCTCAACAAAAGCCTTCTTTGTGTCATCAGTTCAAACTCCATTGGGAGTTCTACACCTGAAAGTTTTTGGAAGGTCCTTGTTATCATCTTTAATCTTCCCATGGCCCCACTATATACCGCTGTTGTTTGCTCCCAACATAGTGTAATGTCAATATCCTGATAGCACCCAAGTTAAGTTTAGTTAGAATGAGAAGGTAAAAGTTGTGGAAATGTTCCTGAATAGCAAAGAGGTTAAGGAAGGACAGTCTATGTCTGCTGTCTTCAGACTTCAATGCATGCATAAGGCACACACAGTTACACATAAAGATGTATTTTTAATTTATTCCATATTTTTCCTATAATCAGGACTTTGGGATACATATCTGGAGATCCTGTTGACAAACTTTATTCATCCAAGGTAGGTAGGTAGGTAGGTAGGTAGGTAGGTAGGTAGGTAGGTAGGTAGGTAGGTAGGTAGGTAGGTAGGTAGGTAGGTAGGTAGGTAGGTAGGTAGGTAGGTATAATATAAGGGTATAGTATTTGCAGCTGTTTCAGTGTAAAAATGGACTGACTGTTCTCAGCTTAAGGCCAGAATATATGAAAGATTATCTCCTTCCATCCTGCCTGGATCTTCAGCAGAGACCCTAATGATGTCCCACACTACCCCGAGAAGCTAGAGTTTTCTCTGTTGCAGCACCTTGAGTTTGAAAAACTCTTCCAAGGGAAGTCAGTATGGCATTTGGCCCCACCTCTGATGAGTTTCCAGTAGGCAACCAAGACTGTGATTTTCATCTCTTGTATTAAAAAAACTGATTTTAAAGTGGCCTTTCGAGTTTTTGTTGATCTTTTCTTTTTAATAATGACTTATTTTAAATTGGTTTTAATTTATTTTAAAATAACGTTTTATCTTCATGCAGTTGTATATTGTTAGGGGTGGGGGCTTTGATAAGCAAAATCTTTTAATAAATGGATGTGCCTTGAAGTTATGACCCACAAACACTGAGGCTGATTACTTTTCAAACTCCTAGACATTCTTCAATCTTCTTGAATTCTTTAGTGTTTGCAAAAGAATCTGGTCATAACCTGGAGCTTCTTGGTTACTCTGTTTCTAATAATGCTTTCTACTCAATTAAATACTAGGAGGGCTGGAAGCCAAAGGAAATAACTTTAGCAAAATAAGTATCTTTGCTACAGCAATCTTATCATATTGTGCCACGTTCAAACAAATATGCATGAAACTAAATGACTAAATAAACATTCGGCTAGATTTCCTCCCCAATCCTCAGTGAATGAGATTGTATAAGTTTGTTGGCAATTTATTTTCTTGCCAGTCTCCATCACACAAACTTCAAAGCGGTTTCCTACATATTCCTCTCACCCTGCTCAGATTGGCAGGAATTTTGCACAATGGAACTTGGTCTGGGGCCAGGCCAAAGCTCGGAAATTAATTATCTATACACAGATCATCTCTCTTGGCTTCTGATTCCTGGGGCAGGAAATGAGGAAAATTGGCCAACATGGCCCTCTTTCATATGTGAAAAATCACAAAAAGCACCAAGCGCTTTGCTAAGAAAAGGCAAGGAACTGTGTAGTAGGTCAAGAATTACTGAGAGAAAAATAAGGCTTACCCCAAACAAAGAGGAGAAGGCAGCAACTCCAAACAGCCAGACCCTTCAAATTCATCCTGGGACAGACCAGGCACAACCAAAATATGTCCTCTGTACAGCCAACTCACAACTGAAAAGCTGCTGCCACTACTGCAACTTTCCCAGAAAGAAGAAACCTTGCACCAGTGTGTCTTCCTGGGTCAGGGATGCGGACAGCAGGGAGGTGAGGAGCTGGCGAGTTCATGGAATTCAGTGCAAAACAGACTCTCCCCTGGCCTCGTTAAACAAAATCCCTTTCACACATGAACGCCACAAGAGTTCAGGATCCCGCAGAGGAGGTGAATGGAGCTATTCAGCACTGCTCTCTATGTGACACACTCCAGGCTTTTAAAATAACAAGTTCCAATTACAAAATATTACAGCTGAGCCCTTTTTCAAATACATGCCACAGAAAACAGCAGGGAGAATGGAGGAGGCAGCTGATGGTTCCAGGCACTGCACAAGACCACCCCTGAATACTAAGATAAGCACCTCGGAGAAAGAGCCATGTATACATGTAAATAATGATAATTTTGTGCTCTCAAGTCGATTCCAATTTATGGTGAGCCTTTCCAGGGTTGTCAAGGTACAGAGTATTTTA